ATATTAAATCCTCTGATTCGATCTCCAAAGTGTTTAAAGAGAATTTGTGTTTGATACAAGGGTCGTAGAGACTTGATCTTGATCAAACGGGTAATACAAGGCTTGTATGGTGTTTGGATTTTTCTAGGGTGGAGGAACTGGCACGTATTTATTGTGCTTTGTGGCTCTTTCAAAGTGAGGTAAAGAATGCAGAGAGTTTTCTGTTTCTTCTGAGTACTTGGTCTGTCTAAGCTTTTTTCTCCAAGGTTTTGAGGCCTCCTATTTATAGGCTCCTACAAGATGCTTGACCTAAATAGTTTTCCTTTTTTAGGACCTTGCTTTGTGGGATTTTGATTTGATTTAAAATCAATTCCAATAATTTGGCAATTTAACCAAATTATCCTTGATTGATTGACTTAATAAATATTTGATTTAAATCAAAGTCAATCACAGAAGATTCTTCCCTTAATTTTGTCTTCACTTTGAACCGTTTGATGCACTCCGTCGGATGTCGACACGTGTCACTTTTGACAACTAATCCGATTTTGATGAGTCGTACACCAAATGGGCGGATTATGGGGGCCCACAATTTAATCCACCAAACCTTAATTATTTCTTATTTGGTGAAATTTAATTCACCAAAAATTCAATGTCTACAAGCACACCAGTTGGAATCATTTGGATTTTTTTGAACTCTTATTTAGAAGTGGCTTTCTTTGACTAAAATTATTAAAGTATTAGTTTGAAAACATGACACAACGGAGAACCAGAAAAAAATTTAAGCATGATTTCTTGACAGATATATTTGTAAAGAAACAAAGAACAACAAAGGCGCCAAAGGAAAACAGGTAGCCAAGCATGAGCAGTGAGACTATTATAAATAGCTGAACCTGTCCAGAGTAGCTAATCTGCCTCTCCTCCTTGCCAACCAAAGAATCAAAGTCTCAAGATGGGGTATTTTAAGTCTTGCATTTACGTAAAGAAAATGTTGGACCTCTCAACTCATTGCTAATTGATTTGGGTTGAATGTTCTATCTTTAAAAGATATACTTGTATATTCTGATTGTTGACTAAGTTAGCCTGGACACTTAATACACAAGCCAACGAGGTTTAGTCCTGTGGAAAAAGATAAGTGATCTCATGTTTGAATTCCTATGACATCTAAGCACTTTGACAGTGTGTGAGAAAACCAACCTTCCCTTCCTAACAATGATCGGAAAAAAAAAACTTAAAAAAGAAAAAAAAAAAGCAAATGGGATGTAACCACTTTCTTAATTCTATAACACTACCTAGGGAAAAGATGATGCTGACAAAAAAAATATAGCAACTATATATATGCCAACAATAATACTAAAATATATACTTATAACAGAGAAGAAGATCTGTGATTCAACACTTCACTATTAACTAAAAAAATTACTCAAATATGAAAATTAATAGAAAGCAATTAATTGATGCAACGTAACATGCATTATAAATCAATAACACAAAACACATTCAACGGAACGAGAAATTATAGAGTAGTACAGTATCACCACGTCAGCTGGTGATACTTCCATTTAAAATTTGCCATGTGTATAACTTTTTAAAGAAAAATTAACTTTTTATACAGCTGGATTTAAAAGTTCAATTTTATAATTTAAAACCATTAAAAAATAAAAAATAAAACTCAATAATAATAAAAATCCCTAGCAACCCCTTCCCTGAGCTCGCCGCCAAAGCTCCTCCTCCACACTTTTTGCCATGGCTGCCCATCGGTTTTTCTCTTCTTTTTTTTAAATCTCTCCCTCCCCTCTGTTATGGGTTTAGGGTTCAAGGAATTTTCTCACTATTATGGGATTAGGGTTCAAGGGGTTTAGATTGAAGATTTGATGGGGTGGATTTACGATATTTATGGAATCATTTAATTTCATACGAAGGTTTTGAGGAATCTAATAAGTTTCCAAAGTCCTACAAGATATACGGCGATTGAGATGTTTGACAGGAAAAGCAAATAAGGTAGGTGAATAGGAGTTGGAGTTCGTCGATGAAGCAGGTGGTTTTTGGGGGGTTTTCTTTTTTCTTTTTCTAAAGTTTTTTTATATCTCTTTAATTTTATTTAATAAGAGTTAAAATGAGTGGTGAATCTAGTTGTCAATAAATTATACACGTGGCGAATTTTGAGTGGAAGTATCACCAGCTTACGTGGTGATACCGTATCATTCTATAATTTCTCCAAGGGAACTACTTGATCTCTTGAGTACCGATCAAATAAGGATCATAATTAGCTGTAGATTTGTCCACATCATCATCATCATCATGATCACAAATCCTTCTTGGAGCTGCCATAACTCTTAGCATGGAAGTCCATGAACATAGCCAAAAGAGAAACATAGAAAAAAATATTGAAGCACCATCCCCAGATCCCGCAGCAACCCGACCCGTTAAAGTGATAGATGAGCATCCAAACCAACCCCACGAAGCTTGACATGAACTGAAATATTTGAAACTCGGTGACCCTCCTCTTCCACTTAGGCCTCACCCCAAGCGCGGCCAGCAAGTAGTAGGTGTACATCACCACGTGCACCGTGGCGTTTGCTGCGATCACCGCCGGAAACAGAGACTGTGAGGTGTGGAGCCAAATGTAGCACATGACCAGCACCATTGTGTGATGGTACACGTGGAGGAATGTCAGCCGATGAAAGGACCCACTAAGGATGATCAGGAAGGTGTCCACAAACTCGTAGATTTTGGAGAGGTAGAAGATGTAGGCCCAGAAGAATAAAGGCCCCGTTGGTGGGGTTTTGGGTGGGAAGCAGATGATCCAGAAAGGGTAAGGGGCGTAGGAGAAGATGGTGACCAGGGAACCAACGGCCATGATGAGGGAGAGGAGGAGGAGGTTGAGGTTGTGGATGGCGGTGATGGGTTTGAGGCGCCGGGGTTTGATAAGTGGGAGAGGGAGGTGGGAGAGGAGGAAAGTGAGGGTGAGGTAGGAGATGATAGTTAGGGATACGAAGAGTGGGCTTGAGGCCGGGGTTTCACTAGGGCTCCATGAGAAGTGCAGGATGGCTGGGTGCTTCACAAGCCAATACTGAAAGGTACTTGAGATGTTGAGGTTCATGTTGAGGTCCATGGGTGATCGGGGAGGCTCAGGTGCCGTTTCTCGGTTGTCAAACGATGATTTAGGCAAGGCCGGAAGGCCAAACAGGCAAACCGGAAGGGAGATTCGAACTTGATAATTTTTTTAAGTGAAAGCTATGGGAGAAGAGATGGTGTGTGTTGAAGTGCGGGAAGCATAGGACTGGTGTTGGGGATTTCTAAGAAGCCAAAATTTAACCATCTTTGGATCAAGTGGGGCCCACAAAAGCAGGTGGGAGCTCTGCAAGCTGGCTGCAGTAAAAGAATAAAACCCTGAACCAACGCCTATCTCTGATCTCCATTTATTTCTGTGTGATAAATTAAAAACCCTAACTATAACCAGAAATCGGCTTGTGGAGGAAGTAGCTAGACTTTTTCAAATTCTGAGTAATGGATCGACCTTCCATCTGTAAATGAGTTTGGAGTCTCACTTGTTATATGCATTTTTTGTCAGAAACTTGTGGTTGCGTTAGCCGGAACTTGGAGTGAGAGAAACGTTTTGCACATATGAATACAAATTGATGTTACAAATTAATTCACGTACATCTTTTACAAAATCTGAAATTTTTTGTATTTTTTAAATATTTGTTGCTGACATCATTGCTGATGTTAGCAAGATGACATCATCCCTGATGTTAGCAAGATGACGTCAGCAAACCCGGACTTAAACATGAGCTCATCTTGCTTGAGGGCTGGCCTGGTTTCGTGGGCCCCAGCAACTTCCCTGGCCAGCCCTTGTTGCTGGAAACGGTTTTTGGGCCTAAAACCCCCCAGCCCCCCCACCCCCCGCCCTTGTTGCTGGAACTGCTCTTAGGAGCGCATCAAAGGCCTGAATCAATCTAACCAAAAACCCCATTGGTAAAATAAAACCTTTATTTGATCTTTACCAATTTTTCCTCTTTGCTGGAATCAACTTATTTACTAAATTGGGCCAATTGGGCCATTGCAATTTTGTTTTTGTGAGGATAAACAAAGTACAAAGCCCAGCTTATTGAGGCCTTTCTATGGATTTTCTGCCTTTTAATCAAGTTCTCTGTTGATGATACCGAACAATCTGTTCTTCCCTTAGATTTCACTTGGCTGGGAAAAGACATCATGTAAAATCCACAAACTATCAAAATATTGTGGGAAAACAAACTAGAAGGTGATTGATGGCTGATGTTGACCAATGCAGGCTGGGCAGCCACTATTGAATGGTAGTCACGCTTCCAAGTCTTGAGCCAAAGAAGAAAAATCAACAACACAAAAAGTACTCCATGTAAGCCAAAGGAGATTGATAAAGAAAAATTAATAAGAAAACAGGACATTTGTTTACTTCAACAAACAGAGTTCTTTCCCAAGCTATTTTCTCCTATGGAATTCTTAATTACACATGTGTTCAATTTAGAACTTTCTAAAAATTTAGGGTACTTTTGAGTTAGCACACCAGTTGGAATCATTTGGATTTCTTTGAACTCTTATTTAGAAGTGGCTTTCTTTGACTAAAATTATTAAAGTATTAGTTTGAAAACATGACACAACGGAGAACCATAAAAAAAATTTAAGCATGATTTCTTGACAGATATATTTGTAAAGAAACAAAGAACAACAAAGGCGCCAAAGGAAAACAGGTAGCCAAGCATGAGCAGTGAGACTATTATAAATAGCTGAACCTGTCCAGAGTAGCTAATCTGCCTCTCCTCCTTGCCAACCAAAGAATCAAAGTCTCAAGATGGGGTATTTTAAGTCTTGCATTTACGTAAAGAAAATGTTGGACCTCTCAACTCAATGCTAATTGATTTGGGTTGAATGTTCTATCTTTAAAAGATATACTTGTATATTCTGATTGTTGGCTAAGTTAGCCTGGACACTTAATATCGATCGATGTGAAATTCATGAAATCAGGGGAAACATTGCAAACCAAATTTGGAAAAAGCTATCAAATTATTGAGATTGAAATCAAATACAATATTACTCTTTAATCATAACCACATAGACTGCTTTTGTATGAGAAAAAGAAAAAAATTGAAAACCACACTGCTGAACAAACAGAGAAAGGAGAGAACATAGATTGTTGCCCTAAAAATGTAGAATATATAATAGATGGTTTTAGTTGTAGGCATCAGGGTTGGCCACAAGATAGGTCTCAATAACCTTGAACAAAGCACGGGCCCTTTCTTTGCCAGCTTTAACATGCTCTTCCTTGATCTCAACATCTCCCTTGGTGTGGTAGTTGCTGGTGTTTTTTATGATAGAACCTCCATCTGCAGATGCCACCAACTTAATCTCATAAGAGATTTTCTCAATTTTGTCTGAAAGAGCATCTCCTTCAATCAAACTATAGCTGTACACAAAGTTATCTTTGTCAAGCGCATCAACCTGGTGCTTCACATAGCTGTATTCACTTCCTGTAATTTGAAAATTTGAGGATGGTCAATGTCAATTTTTATAGAAATTGAGACAATGCTGCTTTTAAGAAACATGTTAACTAGAAAAACAAGTTAGTAGAGAGAGAGAGATTGGTGGAAAGTAAACTAACCTTCCCCGAAGCTAGTCTTCTTGATGGTTCCAACACCTCCATCTCCTTCAACAATTTCAGCACTTTTAACTGCTTGTGGAGCAATCTTTGGGACGAGGTTGTCAGCATCTAGAACAAGGGCTTTGAACAACCTAGGTGGAGCAATGACAGAGGTGAACTCGGTTTCGTATGTGAAGACACCCATGATGATGATGGTGTTGATAATTGGCTCAAACCATAGTGAAAAGTGGAAACACTTTCTGCTAGTTATTGTTGTAGTTGGCTGTTTGCCTTGGTATTTGGTTGATTGGTTACTTTTGGTTGTTTGTCTTGGTTGATTGGTAGACAAATTGCATGGGCACATTAATTGTTGGGCGTTGGCTAATTAATTGGTTTGACTTCAGTAGCTGGCCTCATAACCGAAGTAGTTGGCCTTCACCCGTTGGCTTCTCTATAAATAGAGAAGCATGGCAGCAGCAAGAGAGAGAGTAGAGCCGCACCAAAGTCTGAGAGAGAAAAGTGAGAGAGGAAAAATAAGAGTTGGGCAGCAAAACATTTGTTGCTGCCTGTTGCGTAGATACAGCTCCACCAAAATGGATTAAGCTGCATCCTCAACTTGTGATACTCGCAAGTGCACGAACCGTTGGTAGTATAGCATATGTAAGTGCGAGGTCGATTCCACAGGGATTGGTGATTGAATGATCCAATTTAGTTTCCCTACACAAAATAGAAACAAAAACAAAGAACATAAAACAAGGAAGAAAGAAATAAGTAACTCAAGCAAATAAGTTCCCAAGTTCAATTTAGATTAATGGATTGATTCTAGCTAAAGTATGATTAAGCCATGGTGTGTGGTCATAACCTTGTGTTCCTAATTCCCTAATTTGATCATTTGTTGTCTAACCTAAAATTAAGCATTAGGAACCCATTAAACATAGAAGAACAATTTAAACAACCAAGCATGTACAACTAAGAAAACATTAAAGAAAGCTAGAATTGAGAACTAGAAAGCAAAACTAAGATAATTTGAGGGAGAGAAGGGAAGGGAGCTCTAGAGAAGTGTTTGAGAGCTCCCCCCCTTGGGGTGTGTTTACAAGCTT